GGGATGTGGGAGGAGGCTGCTCGGCCCCCGGGATCCTCGCGGCGACTTTGCGTAGGTTTGCTGGTGTCCAGGCCTCTGGGGTTGGGAGAAATGTACACCGACGACGTAGGTGGATTCATGAATCCCGACTTCAGCCCTGGCTCTGTAGGATTTTTTTTTTTAAATTCTCCAAGATGGCGAACTGCCATTGATTTCTCTCCTCCTCCTATGGAGAGTCATCGATTTACCGTTATTCCCAATTATGCAACACAGCCCTAAAAAACGGGATGCCTTTACGGGGTTTTCAGTAATCTGCCAACACCAAGGGGACACGTCAGTTCTCCAAGTCTCTTTCGTGATGGTAGTGAGGAACTAACGCAGATTTATGCTTCACAGTGCCTGATTTTGTGACTTGATGGTTTTGACTTGGTTGACTCATGTGTAGGGAATAATTGTCACTAAGCCTCCAATGCTGCTTTATTGTTTCACCTCTTTCTGCACAAGGTTCTTTCCAAAATTGTGACGATCGTGTCAGTGAGACCATTCCCTTAGTTTCTTGGCCTCACGCTCCCTTCCCCAAAAACGCTAAAATTCATGCCCCCTGTTAAGGGTACTAATTATTCTCGTACTAGTTAACATGGTTTCAGACTTAACTGTGTAGAACTCAGTCCTTGATGCTAGTACTTGAAGTTCTCCTATTGCAGTGGACTACAATTCTTACAGAGAATTGGCATCTGGTGATCAACTCTTTTTTCTGCAGTCTTTTTGATTTTTTGTGTGAGTTCCCGCTGTCTGGCTGGGAAGATTGCGGGAGTGTGCTTGGAAATGGCTGGGGCCTGCTATGACTCTGCAGTTCTGATGGGGGCGACGCCTTCCTTCTTATGCATGGAATGTTAGCAGGCACGTTTTCTCCTTTCCTCCTTTCCGATTCTGGTGGCTACCTCAGTTTCTTTCCAAATCCCTCTCCGTTTTCTGTAGGGTTTTTTATTTTGTTTTGTTTTTACCATTGCTTACTGCTGTGCTACCGGCAGAATCTTCTTTGCATTTGCCGGAATAAAAACTGATTACTGAGGTGGGAGGGGAAAGGAAGTTAGAGTAGTAGCTAGAAAAATAGGAGGGAAATACGAATTTGGGAATGCGCTGAGCTCTAGAGTTTGAAGTTCGTACTTGTGGGGAGATGTCAAGCTATTTGAAGCAGAGTAGAAGTGAACAGACCTGCTATAAGCATGGACTTTAGGTTTTATTTCAGGAAACTTTCAAGCAACTTTAAATTTGATGCAACATGACTGACTGTAATGATAGGCTATTGCTGAAAGTTTATAGGGTGAATTGAGATTCTTTTCATAGACTGGTCTTTAGTTAGCAGACTACACTGTGAACTGTGAAATCTAATATGAAACATGTAATCATATGGGGTTAAGCTATTCTTTAGAAAAGACTAAAACTTGATTTTATGTTAGTGAAATGTGGATGCCTTGTACTGGTAGTAAAAACTTGGCACACAGTCTTTCCTGTTATATTGAGGCCTGAAAAGAATTAACTAATTTCATGTGTGTTTTTTCTTTTTCTTTTCTTTTTTTCTTTTTTGGGCGCGGGGGGACAGCCAGTAGAAATAGATATGATTGTAGGAAAAGATCGGGAAGGTTTCTTTACCAACGGTTTGACTCTTGGCGCAAAGAAGTGCTCAGTGATCAGAGACAGTCTGTATGTGGATGGTGACTGCACAATGGACATCAGGACAAAGAGTCAAGGTGGGGAGCCAACATACAACGTTGCAGTGGGCAGAGCTGGCAGAGGTAAGCAAGGCACTCTTTTGTTAAAAGTTGCATGTTACATTACAACTTATTAAGCAGTTTCTTTAACATTTTGAATAAAAGTGTTAGTCCATAATGGCTATTAAGGTGGTTTTTGTGAACTGCCCAGCACTGAAGGGAGGCACTGCTTTAAATTTACTTACTCTACAGCAGCTGCACGTACAGCCTAGCCTCTGAGATCTTGACTTTATTCTAAAATAGAATATTCATACCAACTCTCCAGTTTCAGCTTTAGTAAACTGAAAATCCAAATTTGTCTCAAACTGCTTGACATGTTCAATGATAATCTTACCGTGTAATCAGATTGTTAAATCACTCTGATTGTTTGGTTACTTTCTTACCTTTGAGTGTTTGACCTTTGGATCTCTTCCTTTTCTTTCTTGCTTACATTTCAATCATTCATTGCTCAGCATAAAAATGGAAAAATTAACATTGATTCATATTTCTATTAAAAACATGGCAGGGAAGAAAGAAATAATTAGAATAAGGGTTTTGGAGTAAGTTGTCCCATTACTAAAATATTTTCAAAGACTAAATGTGATTGTGATTTAGATAGGAAAAGTAGAAAATTATATTTCATTTATATATTTGACCCAGAAATTCTGGTGTTTCCTGACTGTTGTCAACATTGGAGAAAATAAGTCTCACTGCTTTTTCAAAACTTTCAAAATTGGGGTTTATTATGGCATCTGATTGATTTACAGCTATATTTAAATGTATTAACCTGTGTAAATATTTTGTAAATAAAGAGGGTTTGTGAGTCTCATACAGCAGACTTGGTACGTCTAAGTAAGACCAAATCTACCATGTGAAGGAACTTGAAACTCCCCTGAGCTGTAATTTACTAAAATGGTCCTACCAACTCCCTGTGATCATCCTAAAGGTTACTCTTATTCTGATGTGAGTTGATGCTTATGACTATTGCTCCATAGAAAAATTAGGTGGTCCTAGCCAGTTTGACTCAGTGGATAGAGTGTCAGCCTGCGGACTGAAGGGTCCCGGGTTCAGTTCTGGTCAAGGGCACATGCCCAGGTTGCGGGCTCAATCCCTAGTAGAGGGTGTGCAGGAGGCAGCCGATTAGTGATTCTCTCTCATCATTTATGTTTCTGTCTCTCTCTCCCTCTCCCTTCCTCTCTGAAATCAATCAATAAAAATATATAAAAATAAAGAAAGAAAAATTAGGTGACTGAAGTAATAGACATTTTTTTTTTCCAATATTAGCTGGGCTCAGATAACTTAAAAAGCATCAACCATGTGACATAAAACAGGAATGAGATTTTCATACCATATAGTACTGCTGACATCTAGTGGCTGTGATTGTAAAATCTGAACCTCATCATAGAAGAATCTGTTGTTGGAAATCGTAAATCTATTTCAAGATTTTAGACTCAATTAAAAACAAAGCTAGAACAGTGAGGAGGATATCAGTAAGCATACACCTTAGAAACCTTAATTTCATCTTTTCTGAATAGCACTGGAAATGCTATTTAAAATTTGGTCTTGGTTTTGCTCTAGCGGTAATAGACACATTTAACCTCACTGGTAAGACTTAATAGTTTGTACTTAATCAAGCTTGTTAAATTGGGAGAATTTTGTAAAATAATCACCTAAATTTTTTTAAGTTTTTTTGGGAGGGCCAGTCTAATATGTATTTGTCATACTAACCAGCAGTGTTTTGCCCTAGAATAGAAGATAAATGATCACACTCCTTTTTCCCTAGCTAGTGTGAAGATATTTTTATAGAGCGCTGCAGCTGCATTGATTGGACTTCCAAGAAGCAGTTAATAGTTTTTAGTATATAACTAGTTTGAAAGTTCTCCTTTTTGGAGATCTAGTTGACTTCAGTGCTTGACAGTTCATGGAAAACTAACTTAATATTAACTTATTAATTAGGGTTCTGTCTGCTAAAACTTATGTGACTTTCTTGATTAACCCTTCTTTTGAAACCCTTTTCTTCTTTCTCTTTCAGTCTTGGTCTTTGTAATGGGAAAAGAAGGGGTCCATGGAGGCGGCTTGAATAAGAAGGCATACTCAATGGCAAAGTACTTGAGAGACTCTGGGTTCTAGCTGCTAGGCAGATGTTCAGCATTAGGGGAATTGCTCGTAAACTTTCCTAGCATAAGCTCGAGTCTTAATTCCGGAAACTTTATTAGCAATGCAGGTGATGGGGTATGAACCTTGGTCTCCTTTGTATCCCTCTGTTAGTGGGGAAAGGTATCTTTCTTTCTGCCCTCCCCCCTTAAATAATTCTGTTCACTTTGTTTTGTTTCCTTGTGTACTCCAGCATTGGTTATAGTCATGGGAAAGGAAGGTGTCCACGGAGGCACACTTAACAAGAAAGCATATGAACTCGCTTTATACCTGAGAAGGTCTGATGTGTAAGCAGCCTCTCCCCATCTACCTAGCAACTGTCTTCATCACCACCCCAATTATGGTTACAGTGCTGCCAGACTATGTGGTAGCTAATTTTTCTTTACCTATTTTCTAATGTCATGATTCCTATTTGCCCAATGGATTATTTGTATGTTAACCACTGTATGTAATCAACCCTTATCTGGCAACATAATTGCAGCACAACAATGATTTGCATGATACCTTGAAATTTGGGGGGAGGGGGCATGCCAAGTTGGGCATCACTTTGTTTTAGCAATTAATGGGATATTGATTACTAAAATAAGTTAATAAGCAAGGTGCCGGTGTACAATCTCTAATTTGATCAATGTCTTTTCAGCACTTTGAGCATTTACTTAGCTCATTTAGTCTTCCTTTTGTAGCGCATGGTTGGGAGGGAAAAGTGCATGCATCTTTCCTTCACTTGTCTTTTCTCACCCCCTCCCTTCGCACATAAGTTGTTTGGTTTGCTTCCACCTTATTTTATGCAGTGCCTGGTTTATTTAACCAATTAATAATCCTGTTTGTTGAACTATTGAGAGCTGCAGTAGTTTGCTTTCAGTATTGTTGTTGCACTGGAGTAGACAAACCTTTTTTCATAGTGTCTACAGGACATACTAAGAGTGCAACTGCAAAACAAGAGCAAAAGGCACTTCCTCCCATGACCTCACAATAAACATACTGGTTGAATCCCCAGGGACATTCATCATTGCAGTAGCTCAGATTTTTGTTCCTATCTTTTTCTTTGCACACCAGCTCTACCTACTCTTTAGTAAAATTGTAAAAGGCTGCCATTATGGACATTAGGTGTCCCAGCATAACCATCTGGAGTGTGTCCAGTTTGTTATTCATAGGACCAATTTTTATTTGCAGCTTAAGTTTTTATATGAAGTTGCATTATTGTGGCTGTCTTGTGATGAATTTTTTTCAAATGTATTCTGTGCCATACTATTGTTAAAATGAACTGTTGCTATTGTGAGATGGATTTTAACTGACCTATAAAAGGTTTCTTTTGAATGGCACTACTTTAGGGACATTCTAGTATTTGCTTCTATTGTTTGGGCCTTGTGGATAATGTACAGATTTAAAAACAAATCTTGTTGCTGATTTGTCCATTTCTTTCCCTGCACTTTGTTACATCTGGGATACAGTCTAACTCATCTGATTTAATATGCATTTTAAAAAATGCCATAACTATTAAACACCTTGTTTACAGACAGATGAAATAAATTTATTCCAACCAAATACTCTAGACTCATGTTGTTTATATAAATTGTTGGCTTACTGTTACAGTTGATTTTTGACACAATGCTAATATACAGGATAGGCCAAAAGATGCTGTAAGCATATAATCGTTTTGAAAGATTCGGTTGATGGCCTATTCCACTTCCTGTAGTATTTATTATAAATAAAATGAGTGCTGGGAATTTATTTTTAATGGTCTTTGACCTTTTAAAATGGTTTTTAGTTATCTCAGGCTCATCTTCAGGCTTATGAGAAAAAAATTAACGTATCCACTAGAAATTAATACTTTTCTTTTGTTGATGGTCTCTAGATGGGAAATCTAGTGAGCAGTAAGGCCCCAGTACCAACAAGGGTTTCTGCATTGTGGATTCTTCTGTGTTGAGCTGTTGTATGACTTCTTTAGGTTTGGAGGCTGTGTCGGCAGACTGCAGTGAGCCCATTGGAACTCTCACATAAGAGAAGACATTCCTTAGGCAGCATATAAGATGGTTGGGATGTTCTTGCCATTTCTGGCTTTGGAGTGACATGTTCACAGTAGCTATATAAGTCAAGTTTAATCCCAGAGGTCAGAAGGTCCCTGAGATATATTGCAGCTTAGTAACTATGTTAGTTTAATACTATTTAGGTAAATCATCACCATGAACTATCAAGCTCTAAGCAGGGATGCTCAAAAGTTGGTGTGTCTGAGTGGAACTGGGAGCTGCTTATAATGCAGATTTTGGGCTCTAGAGTTCTACTCTGGAGATGTAGATTATGCATAGCCCAAGATCATCATTTAGAAACAATTGCCAGGTCAGTCTGAATCACTTTAAGTAGCCTGTGTGCTACCCTTTGAGAAACTGGTTTAGGGAAGGAGAATTAATTTCTTTGCCTTACTTGAATATACTGTGCATAACTTAAGTTTTTTCTTTGAAGTGTTGTCAAGCAAGAGTTCTGAATTTGATTGTACACTCAGGGATGTACAAGTTTAGAAGATAGGGATTTGGGCCTACTTTGGTAGTTGAGTGGGCATACCTTAGAAATTGTAAAACAAAAACCTCAACTTCCTGACCCATTAAGATCTCTGTTAGGAACAAAAGGTGGGTCAAATGAAAATTTTGTGGTTGGGTTGCAGTGATTTGATATTTTATGGTAATATACATTCACACTTGAGTTGTAAAGAATTGTTGGGGTAATTAGAAAGCCGCACCAGAATTGTGAAACCCTTAATGAATGAACCTGTAAGTTAGGTGAGGGGATGTGTGTTGGGGGTGTTTGTAGGTGAGTAGAAGACAGTAGTGGGCATCTGTATCATTAAAAAAGTAAATAATGAAACTAAACATTGGCCCCCTACACACAATTTCATTAGAAAAACACTTCTGAAAACATGTGCATGTATCTTTGCTTTGTACTTAGTTCTAGGAATTTAACTTAAGGAAATGGAGCTATACAAATTCATATGCCAGAATATCCATCACATAGCATTACTTATAGTGCTAAACTTGGAAAGCTACAAAATTTAACTTTCAGGGTTATGGGCTATATAAATGACTGTCCAGAGGATAAACCAGTCATCGAAGAATGACACAAGAAAATGCTCACCAATGAATGTTAAGTAATAATTTGGATATAAACAGATGTTACATACAGTATAAGTATGTACAGTATATAATATAGATTTATTTTACATATGTATTTCTGAATATCAAAATAAATTTATCTCTGGGGTATGTTTCCAGGTGACTGTCCTTTTATAATCAGAAAAAATTTTAATTAAGGTATTAAACAAATTGAATTTTTATTTAGTGTCCTATTTAAAAAATTGTGTATACTGTGAAGACATAAAAAATTTAAATTGAATATTAAAACTAGTAATTTAAGACTTCATAGATTTTACAACTTAAAGTAAGTTTGGAGTATTTAAAAAAAGTAATTTTTACCTTAGAAAATCTCCTAACTTAAATTTAAAGGAACCAAGTCCTTTGATCTGAAGTGTAGATTAAGAACTGAGGGAATACAGTATCTAATACACATTACAGTGACTTAACTTTTCCCATTTAAAAAAATGTTATTTAATAACTATAAAAGCTATTACTTACTGTGTGTTTATGTGCCAAACATTGAGTTCAATGTTTTATCCTCACACCCTACCTTAGGTTAAATGAAATTATTCAAATGACCAAATTCCAAAGCTCTGCTATCCTAGTAAACTAATGTTCTATTTCTCATGCCTGTGTTTTATTATTTAAAAGGAGGGGGAGGGGAATGAGGTGGTATCAGCTTGACAATTCAAGTTTTTCTTTTCATAAGCAAAAATATTTTTTTGTTAATTATAAGAATTTTTCTAAAAAGCAATTCAGAAAATGAAATTCCCCCAATAGTGTTACATTTCTTTAAAAATGTATAATTTTTCTCTTTTTACAACAAAGGCTCATGTACATAGTATAGTTATTCTTTTCTAATGTGCTTTTGTTCACTAACAATTTCCCATGTCCATGCAGATGTATCAAGATAATTTATCCTTTTGAAGCTGGGTAGCAGTGTACTGTAAGGTTATACCATACTTACAACAGGGTACCAAAATGTCCAGTTGTTGGAATGATTTTGACGGCCGTTTAAACTTTTTGGGGAATTACCCAACTGCTTTAGTTAGTTACCTTGTATAAAATTCTAAGGTGTGTTTATCTGACCTAAATTACCATAATCATTATACCTTTATACCTTTATAGCACTGTATATGAAAATAAGGCTAATGTAGGTAATATTTCAGTACAACAAATAAAGTTCTTAAAGTGGAAAACGTGTTTATTAACATTCAAACTCCCTTCATACAAGGCTATATAAAAATTCGTAGCATTTTGATTATATATGTCTATATTTTCTACATAGTTACAGTGATGTATAGTATAATTTAGCTTTTCATAAATTGTTTACATTCATTATTCTGTTAAACATAAGCAATTATTTTCAAATCCAATACTTGAACAATTTCCTCTATACATAGTTTAGCAAGGCTAATCAGCATAGATGCTCTTTATTGAGAGGTATATGATCTGCATGTTAACAGTTGCTGAAGTTTGGTATTTTTGTACAGCATTTCCTTTTTGCTTCGATCACAACATAAAACCCTTAAGGATATGAAATTCAGTAAGTTAAGTCCAGTGACATATTACTTTAGCTGATGAATCCAATTCATACGTAACACTATAGTATTTAAGAACCTTAAAACTTGAAATCTGCGCCAGTATGGACTGTTCCTTTCAGGATAAGACTACTTGGGAATAGAAAGGAAAAAGACAGCTTTGAGTTTTGGTGCCAATGGGAGGAAAAATGCTAAATTGCCTCGTTGCCTCTCCCTCATGATGGCAATTTGGGGTAATACCAGAACAAACATTCCAATTCAACAACTCTAGGTAGCTTTATGGAGATGGGAGCTGGCTTAGCTAATACTAGGTGGCCACAGCACTGACTTGTGTGCAAAGCACAAAATTTGCATACTGTGATCTAGATCTTAATTGCAAGCTGTACTGAATTTTTTTTTTTTTTTATGTTTTGGCTATATTTCATTCCAAAATAAGAGTTGATTTGATGCTTGAGTTACAGTACCAATCTATTGTTACTTGTTAGTAAAATGAAGTAAACACTCCTGCAGATAAATACTAGATTTAAAAAAAAAAAACAACTTTCAGTAAGATTAAACTGTAGAAATCTAAAAAATAAGTTATTTCTACAGAAATCTG